CCTTCTTCCTTCTTTTCTTCCTCTTTCCTTCCTTCATTATTCATTCTTTTCTTTCTTTCTTTCTTTCTTTCTTTCTTTCTTTCTTTCTTTCTCCTTCCTTTTTTTCTTTCTCCTTTCTTCTTTACTTCCATCCTTTCTTCCTTCTTTTCTTCCTCTTTTCTTCTTTCTTTTCTTCACCCTTCCTTCATTAATCCTTCTTTCTTTCTTTTATTCTTCCTTCCTCCTTTCATCCCTTTTTTACCTTCCATAATTTCTTCCTTCTGTCCTTCCTTTTTTCCTACCTCTTTCCTTCCTCTTTTCCTTCACCCTTCATTTGTTCCTCAGTCATTCCTTTTTCTTTCCTTAATTTTTCCTTCTTCTTTCTTTCCTTCTTTCTACTTTCCCTCCTCCTTTCTTCAACCTTTCTTTTACCATTCCTTCTTTCATTATTCATTCTTTCCTTCCTTTAGTCTTCCTTCCTCTTTCCTTCTTTTCGTCCACCTCCCTTCTTTTATTCAAACTTCCTTCCTTTAATATTCCTTCTTTCCTTTATTCTTTCTTTTTCCATTCATTCATTCATTTATTAAATTATTCATTCTTTAATTCATTCATTCTTCCGTTCTTCATCCCTTCCCTCCTCCTTCTCTGCTTCATTTATTCTTATTTTATCCTTAATTGGTTCATTGCTTCCTTCCCTCTTCTTTCTTTGCTTCTCCCTTCCTTTTTTGCTTCTCCTTTCTTCTTTGCTTCTTCCTTCATTCCTTCCTTCTTTTATTCTATCCTTCCTTTATGTTTCCTTCCTCCATTCATTCATTCCACATTCCTTCTTTCCTTCCCCTTCTCGTTTTCTGTGTCCTTGCTTCCTTCCTTTCTTCCTTTATTATTCCTTTTTTTACTTCCTTTATTCTTCCTATTTCCTTTATTCCTTTTCTCCTGCCTCCTCCCTTTCTTTCTTTCTTTCTTTCTCCTTTATTTCTTTTTTCTTTCTTCCTTCCTTCCCTCCTCCTCTCCTTCATCATTCCTTCCTTTCTCCTCCCTTTCTTCTTTCCTTCATCCTTCCTTCATTCCTTCTTACCTTCCTCTTTTCTTTCTTTCTTTCTTTCTTTCTTTCTTTCTTTCTTTCTTTCTTTCTTTCTTTCTTTCTTTCTTTCTTTCTTTCTTTCTTTCCTTCTTTCTTTCTTTCTTTCTTTCTTTCTTTCTTTCTTTCATTATTCCTTCCTCTGTTGCTTTCTTCCTTCATTCCCTCCTTCTTTTATTTTTCCTTCCTCCTTCATTCAGTCATTCCTCATTCCTTCTTTCCTTCCCCTCCTCCTTTCCTGCGTCCTTGCTTCCTTCCTTTCTTTCTTTTTTCTTTCTTCATTCATTCCTCCTTCCTTCCTTCCCTCCTCCTTTCCTTCCTCATCCCTTCTTTCTTTTTCTTTCTTTCTTTCCTTCTTCCTTCCTTCATTATTGTTTTGTTGTTCCTTCTTTTTTTCTGTAGACATTTGGCATTGAGATTAGTGTCTGCTTTAACTCAGTGTTGGTTTGTGTTGTGTGTTAATGATTTGACACTGCAGGTTTAGCGCCGCTGATTGTTCATTACAGCAGTGTTTAAGTGTGTGTCGGATGGATTAGTCCAAGTTAAAGCAGAGTCTCGCGGGTCACAGCTGTAATTCTGTTCCGCTCCTGAAGATTCATGCTGTTCATTTACTGTTTTAGCACATTTCAGGAGGCCTTTAGCCATGTACATTCTGATGCTAACGCTAAACTGACATGACAAAGCTTGTCTAATGTACTCTACTAATTACAGATGTGTCATTGTGCTGATGATTAAGCCAAAGCCACATACAGTTATTAGGAGAAGCAGCCTCCTGCAGTGATCTAAAGATGACACTCAAGCTCTCTGAT